ATATATACTTTAGGATAGGTCAGATGGGCCAGGAAGACGTAGAGACCTTATAACCAGGTTCCTGAAACGCTTTCTCATCGGAATAACTCGTCTAATTAAAACTCGATTGCCCGAAGGCTATAGGTAAATATACATAGATTGTGCTTGTTCGAAGCTGTACAACTTTGCCGGTATGAACGTGAAGTCGGATTTGCATTGGATGCGAATGTGAATGGAAGAAGCAGAGCTTACTGACTAACCTGCCCTGAGTATCAATAGGAATTTTCGCCACTTGTGTTGGTGTGTGCGTCCCCAAGATGTCTCATTCAGTGGTTCATCAGGAAGCATTCTTTGTCAACTGTCAGCATGTTCATTTCGTGAACTGATCGGCCATTCCTCTCGTGTTATTTCGAAGCCCGAATCAGTCGTGACAAACATCCATTGCCGAGAAAGCGCCCGTCACGACACGGGGCAAGTATGTCAAAACAGTTCTGGCAATCCGTCGCTCAGAGCTAGTCTCATTCAATGGCACCGTGTACGTTTAAAGAACACTGGACCTGGATCAAAGAATATATCAGGACGCCTGCGATTAAAGACCACTGGATTTAAAAAATAATCGCGCAAAGACTGGGTTTATGAAATTACAAATTTCTACCTTCTTCGGTTGGTGAGAAGGCAGCTTTTACCTAGACGTTCCAGCGGCCGTCAGATTCCTTCCTCATACCCGCTAAAATATACGGACTGTGCGGATAATCATTTGAAAATTACACCTAAGTTCCATAATCTAATAGACGGAAAGTGTCCTACAAGAGTCCAATGACGTTTCAGTCTCACCGCAATTCGGGGAAAAGGGCTGTTCACCGAAAACGCCTATGTGGGAGAACCTCTGCATGAAGAATAATCTGGATTCCGAAAGGAACCAAGTACGATCAACTTTGTCTTTGCACCGCATCACTTTCAGAAAGGATGCTTAGAACTGAGTCAACTCTCAGGCCCTCTTCATCGGCTTCACGAAAGCCTGTGATTTTATGACCAGGGAGGCCCAAGTGTTCGGCTGTCCCGAAATAGTTGTCAGCATCGTGAAATCTCTTCCCACCAGTGTCGGGGTTCGTATACCCGTGTAACCATCTCCGAATTGTTCTTAGTTGACACCGATTCAACGTCGTTCACTCTACATGTGACTGCGATTTGTGCAGGAGCGTTTTGTTACTCCCAGGGTTGCCAACTAATCCAGTACCGTCTCCAGTACCTTCTTCAACTCGAAACACCTTGTGGCCAACAAAAAGCCAAACGAATCAAAGGTTCATATCATATTTTTGCGCACGAGATGTTTTATCCACACATTTGAAGACGGGATTATCGCCAATCACTGAAGCCTTTGCGTCAACATCATTTCACTTTCGTCCAAATATAACTACTTCCGAAACGCTCGTCTTTCATCAGCATGTCCAGGGTTTGCAATAGCGGACACAATTCATCCAAATTAATGGTCGTGGCGTAGCATGTTATGAAGATTTCAGCTACGTCGACAGCACCCTGCCAGGAGAGTTAACAGCCGATGCTGCATTTTATTCTTGTATTGCAAAAGTTACCGCTACTTTCAGCTTCCTACATAAACGCTTTAGGGGCAATTCGCAACCCGTGCTTGAAAAGAAACCTCACATAGTCCAGAGCCGTCGTCCCACTTTCACTTCCGTGTGGCAGCGAAACTTGGACACCACATAGACGACACATTGAGATGGTTTATATATTTCACTTGCAATGCGAGATACTTCGAATTCGGTCACTGGACCCCATTCCAAACATTCAGACGAACCAGAGTCAACGGCATCGTCTGCGCCCTTTTGCACAACCGGCTGCGCTGAATAGGCAGCGCAAAGCAAACTTCCGAACTAGTGTCTGGGATTCAGAGTGCATCGCAGGGTAAAAGATAACGGGCAGTCATAAATGCGCCTATTAGCTGTGCTCTTTTTTACGTCTTTCCATATCTGACAATACCATTCATCTCAGTATCCATTATCCCCCCAAGTACCTAACCCTTTCTCTGTGTGACAGTCACTCCGAACTGACGTGCTGTTCGTTAATACACCTGGCACGGTATACATCAAGTCACTCGAAATGATCGTATCAGTATTCCAAACGCTGAGCTAATCGTGGAGGTCTTCTGTTGCCAGTGGACTATCGCAGACAGCTCGTTTTAAAAGGCTGCTGAACGTGTGGTGTGTTTACTGAATGAAAATCAGCATATTTTGTTATACGTCATTCAGAGCGACCCGTCTGTTGAGACATTCATGTGTTTAATCAACGCCCCGAATAAACCCGGCAGCACATATGACGCATAGATTTAGATGTAGATGCATAGTTCAGTTTAGCCGGAATGGTCTTGATAATAATGGAATATGTGTGGAGATTGCGTATTGTATGTGCTGACGTTAGGTCCAGTGTCTCGTTAACGTTTTTCCACAGTCATCCCCTCCCAAAGAGACCCTCTTCTGAACTGATCGTTGAAGCTCCTGTTAGTCTTCGGCCTCCAAATGGATAAACCACTTTAGTTTTATGATTCCGTGTGGTCTCTGTAGAATGTGATAAAGGGTAGACTAAAGTAGCGATATGCAGCTTAAAGTAGTATCTTGTGGCTACCCCACAGTTCACCACGGCTAGTCAGAAGTATGCTTGGTACCGGAAGATAAAAACTTCACAACTTTTCCACTTAAGTATTTGTCAGGAAAAGTTTACTTCTGGAATCCGTTTTGGTTTAGCTTTGTTGGAAGTTGCGGGTAGTTTCTCAGAAAACATCAACTGGAATCCAAATATGCCGAAACCGTACCAAGGTACTACTGGTTTAGGATGCCCCCATTGAGGAGCTCATTGGAGGCTGCTGTTCAGTAGCTGTTCAGCAGCAAAGCTCGCCAGATTTCTTCAGTAATTCCAGTTGTGTGAATGACTAGGTAATACACCGCCCCGGTTTTGTATATTGCGAAGGCAAAACCCGAAAGGAGCATGCATTTGGAGAGCTGAAACTGACCGTGACCTGGAGGAGGGGGTCAACAGGTGGACCTGCTTCGGCACGCTCAAAATCCGTAGTTTATAAATTACGTGTTTTCTAGCTTACGAAGTACAGAGGGAGCCGAAAAGGGAATGAAAGATTTTATCATTTATCAAGTCTATGAGGTTGCAGAACAGATTGTATAGTGAATATTGTCTGTACTGTCCATTTTTATCTATACGCACTTGTAACTTAAGCGAATTCAGCTCCTGAATCAATACTTCTAAGCCCCATTCGTGACAGGCGCTTAAGTCCCGTTTTCCGTCCTATCGACTGCGTGCCTTCGAAATTAGGTCACATGATAGCTCACGTGGTGTGTCGTCCGACCCACCGCGTGCCCTTTACGGCCGCACGCTGTACACCCGCGCCCGGTCCAATGCCCATGTGACAGTAAGTTATATGATCATCAGCAAAGTTGTAGCCTATGTTTGTACACCGCATACGGTGCACTAGAAGCACCATGTGGCACTGGCTTAAACGTGAGGAAAACCGGTATCGGAGTGAAACTAAGTGCGTGAATGAATTCTCGTTTCGACTGACGTATTGGTATCTCCAAGTCACGGTAGCACTGTTCGCCAAAAAGTGTGCATACATTCTTCCGTTGTCTTCCTGGAAATTTTATCTGCAGCGAGACTGCATCGATAGGTTACCTGCCAAGTTGTATGCGCCTATCTTTCAGACTCGGATAGATTATGGGCGTGTGATATAAGGGCGTGCATTTTGCACATGATTCTGCCAGGTGAGCTCATCCCAATCAATCTCACTGCATAGCCGAATTTCCTTTTTGTTGAAGTGTATTCTTCCTTGAAATATATACCACCCTGGAGGCCGGATCAAAGCGGTCGTACGCATGAGGTCCTTATTTTTTGGGAGAGGGAAAAGTCGCATAAAATTCGCATACATGTGCAATCAGTTTGCTTGTAATCTTTGCATTTGAAAGAATTCTTTGCTCACGTGAGGCCATCTACGTTTAGATGCTATCACTAGAGCAACTAGACCGGTTAACTGCTCAAAAAGCACCAAAGTGTGCACTTTCTAAACTCCGTTCGTCCTGTTTGGGCATCCCTCTCCCACCTGTCTCAATGACTATGATTTTTTCGTTGTCAGCGACATCATGTGAAGCGCCCTTTTTAGAACTTGAGAACTAGCATACCTTTTAATTTCCATCCTGCATTCTTCGGAAATGCTAAAGAAAGAAAGGCATGTGGGGTCAGTTCAAAATGTTCGCATCCGGTTGCATCAATGAGGTTTGTCTGACATGGCTTGTGCGTGAGGATGTCACCCGTCTGATAACACTCCTCACACTGAACTGGTGTCAATGTGGTCTATGTGCAGTTAACTTTTTTAACTCTTGCTTTTCAACTGCGCTTTCTTTATCTTCGATGTACCTTTTGGTGTCGGAATTATTGAGTCTAAGTTTTCCATGGGATTCGAAGAAGATTCGTGCCCCAGTCATTCACACTGACTGTGAGCTTTCATCCCTCTTCCTCTCTTAGTGTGTGGCAGCACCTTACTTGCAGTCAGAGGCAGTTATTTTGCAAATTTCACTGAAGACAAAATGGTTATTGAGAAATACACTCATTTGCAAATCGATTTGGTTTTTGCGAGAGACTCAGCTGAATTTCTCGTTTAGGATATTCTACAACTGAATGTGCTGCACACAAGCCGCTTCATGTTTCAGTCGGCGCGATATTCGAGATATCGCAATATATTTCCATGAAGGAACTTATTCACAAGATTACTGAAAACAGCCCACGACCGGTTTCGCCCTTCTTGGGGCTCATCAGATAGGCGCAGTCCTCGAGTTTCCGTCAGCCTTATGTTCTACTTGAACCGAATTTGGGCTGATTGCTGTCGGGTTGTTCGAGCCTAGACAGGAGCAGTGGAGATGCCGTGGGTTCGATCCACGAATCTTCAGGTCAGTAAGTTCGAGCCTTCAACGCTAAGCCATCTGGAGCCCATACTATGGACAGAGTATGTGGTCATATTTCGTCTGAGCCAACAGTGCGTACCAGAGTTACTTGATAAAACTAGACTTTGGATTTGGAGATTCTGTTTTGTCATGGTTAGACAGACACCAGCTATCATAATAATTGGCGTTAGGATTCCCTGATTTGAATTAGGAACGGGATATCTTCTGGAACTAGTGGCCGATGATTTCCTGCTCTTAATGGAAGAGTAATACCATGCCCGTCGATCATGTGGCGAAATTTGATGCAGCAGGATACGAGGCGTTGCACAGAGGTG